CACCACTACCATATACCGGGCAGACACCACGACAGGCACCACTACTGTATGCCAGACAGGCACCACTACTATATACTAGACAGGCACCACTACTATATACCAGGCAGATACCACGATGCACCACTACTATATACCAGACGGACACCACTACTATATACCAGACAGACACAACTGCTATATACAAGGCAGACACCACGGTGCACCACTACTATATACCAGACAGACACCATTACTATATACCAGACAGACACCACTACTATATACCAGACAGACACAACTGCTATATACAAGGAAGACACCACGGTGCACCACTACTATATACCAGACAGACACCACTACTATATACCAGACAGACACCACTACTATATACCAGGCAGACACCATGATGCACCACTACCATATACCAGGCAGACACTACGGTGCACCACTACTATAAACCAGACAAAAACCACTACTATATACCAGACATATACCAGACAGACACAACGAGTTCTCCACAACAGACAAACAGTACTTATGCCATGTATATAAACGGGTTCTCCACACCAGACGAACAGCCCTTCCCATCCGAAGGGCTCTCTACAGCGCGGTGAGAGTGACCCCAATAATCATGAAGCTAAGTGTATGAATTCTTGTATAACTGGATTATTTGACCATATGGTTAGACTTATGTTCATTGCTTGGAGAGTGGGGATCCGTGCAAGTCAAGCATTTAATCTTGTTGTGATTAAATACATCCACAGACACGTCACTTGGTTTCCCCCAGAGCTCGTTAAAATTTAATTTCTGATTGAAATACAGATAAGGTATGTGTGCCTGGTGAAGCCTGATGTTCCGTGTGTTGCCCTGGCTGCTCTACAATAATTATTATCGGTTATACGTTAGTGAACCATGGAGCTCGTACATCACGGGGTCAAGTAAACTGTCTCATTCTTACACTGTCATTATGATGGATATTTAAGCGCTCATTACACTCAACTATCTTGAATCTTTCTGTGATCGAAATTTGATTTCTATCTTGACAAGTAAAATGACTATATTGCCAGTATTACGTTCAGGGCGCTATCATATAAACAACCACCGAGGCTGAACGTGTCATTGTCGCAAGGCTACTACTTTTAAAGTATACGTGTACGTAATAAATATAAAGGCGAAAAGGATGCACGCCGTACCTGCATTTACCTGCATCTGTTACTCTGTTTTTAGACAATCACAAACCGAAAAGCGCGTGCTCTTGTCTTAAAAATGGCGAGTAACTTTTAGGTACAATCTGCATTTCAAAGAGCATCACACGACTCTTGCTCAAAGGTTGTTTGATCAGGGTTACAACATTCACGGCCTTAATAAGTAAGGCCTTCAAAACGTTTTGCGGTAGAAACATGGAGGACATTTCCAAATTTGACGCATCAGTGACCTAAATGACGTCCGATGCAATTCCCAATGGGTGTTTGTGCCATATTTTCCCACGTTTTCTTCCTGCTTGCCTTGCCTTTGCATGTGGGACGGGTTATGCTCGCAAACTCATGGTTGTGATTCATAAACAGAAACCTGTGAAATGGTTATTTGTTGCACTTTGAGCATACTTTGCATTGAGTTAAACACGATGCAAGCAATCTCAATATTGGTATTATCATAATAGTCGGAATAGTACAGTGGTGATTTCTTATGATTATGGAAATGGCCTAGCGTTGGACAAGAAGGGTTTCTCTTCCATTCACTTACAGACAATGACCCGAGATAACCAAGAAGGATTTACTTTTGGCATTATGATCCTGTAGCTGCAGTCAATCGAACAGTTGTTGGCAGTCCTTCTCGCATGATGTGGGTAAACGGGCGAGTGACATAGTGGCCTTCATCTTCTGCGGTATGTTCTGTAATAACCTTTAAAGTACTCGGCTATTTATAAGTGGGACCGTTAACGACAACGACCCGTTCATGGCCACCTTTCATGGGCACAGGAGAGGACACATTTCATGGCCTTTTACTAAATGTCGTTTGCATATTCATTTTTATTTGATATTGTGTAACTCTTTCAATTTCCCATTGATAAATGCTGGGGATGCAACGTCTAATCGTGGCAATGTAGTTTATGTGGAGGATAACGACCGACGATGTATCAGCCTGACACTAAATAAGTACATTGTATTCCCTCTGACTTAAGTGGAATAAAACTGTTAACCAAAACAAACAACAAAGATGGAAGAGTACTTGTGAAATATGTTTCTAATGATTTCTGATGTCTTCCACCATTGTCTACAGTGTCACTCACTCACTCACTCACTCACTCATATTACATTTCAACAGTTAAACTACAGACCTTTCCTATATTAACTTAGTTATAGTCAAACATATTCATATGAGTAGAATGTATAACATTGAATGTTGTTAGAGATTAATCAAGTTATTGTTTACTTAAAGCCCAAATAATAGTCCCCTTAACAGCGCCGTTTTTTGACAGGAAAGCTCCCTCTATCAGAAATGTTGCACAAGGTTATATTCTCCCTTAACTTGCTATTTGCTATTATTAAAACACATTTCAACTCGTTTTAGTATGTTTAAGAGTAAACTGTGTTGCCCGGTACAACTCCCAGACGCCCAGGGCAATAAAACCCGCCTTTATCATAATGGGTAATTTGGACATGTTAATTTGAGACCTTTCATTGTTGAGAAACAGAAAACTGGCCACAGACTATGTGCCATACACAATGTTGGAGAATAAAGCCCGTCAGTTACATGGCATGGAGATTGGTTGGTGTCCACTCATTTCATCTGATCGAATCTCAAACCAGAAGTAATTTGTGGGCCTTTTATTGACCTGTCGCCAATCCACACACAATAAAAGGTTGAGGGTTCTATAGGCCTCTGACCAGCCCTACCCCACACGTGAGGAAGAAACTGTCCACTGCTCATACGTTTAATTAGGGTCGCCACCAGCAACTCCTGCCCCCGGGAAAATAATAGGTTTGCGTTTGCATTTGAATTTGCAAATGTCACGTTTTCAAAATTTCACTGTTTTGTATGGCCATTGCTTATTTGTAAATATTGTGATTGGATTTCTTTCCACCTGCCTGGGAATTATGGGGGTTCAGGTCAGCGAACTAGGAATAGTTTCTAGTGGTTATTCAACTTCCTCGACAACCGTATGCTTAAAGTATCGTCCATTTCTGGAGAGAAAAAAAAGAAGAGTGGCGGATGAGGTCGCTTATCTTCTTACTTCTAGCGTTAAAAATTCTTTGGAACCGTTAATTGATTTTTATTCCTTGCGAGTTAGATATTGATGTATTGTCCCATACGCTCATACTTCTGCCTGTCAACATCCTACTTGAAGATTCCAAACTGTTGATTAGAACAGTTTACAAATTTATCACGACCAAATTTTAGAATATATACGCGCCAAGGCAATATCGTGGGTTTGTGACCACCAATGCATGCTTAAGGTTGTGTAATTGAGGACCAAGCCGAACATGTAAATAGAGAGTTCATTTTAGTTTCAAAGGTGTATATTGAAATGAGGTTTTGAGTACTGCTGTTCTGTAGCAGGCAGTGATCTATTCCTATAGTTTTCACAACTATTTTGCCCTTCACGCCCAACTGAATCTGTTTCATCGGACAATCTCTGGCGTTGACGTTTGATATCTAATTAATTTAATTCAGCTGAGGAAAAAGGAATTTCAACATGGGAAACACGTTACTATGTTAGCTCGAATGGCATAATCATAAAATAAATATGTTAGATGGTATTGTATAATCATACACTAATGTTAGCTAGTGACTTATTATCATACACATATGTTAGTACTGAATAGTCATACACACATTTTAGTCCGTATTTTATAATCAAACAAATATGTCAGCTCGCGTTGTATAATCATATAAATGTGTCAGTGCATAATCATACACACTCGTATTTGTTAAATTATATAAACATGTCAGCTCTAATGGTATAATCATTCAACTATGTTAGTATTGTATAATCATACAAATATTTTGGATCGTATGATCATACAAATATGTTGGATAAAATGTAATAACAAACCCATATGTAATACTCATATTGATTATGAGTTTATGTATAAGAATCCTACCTTAGTTGCACCAATCATGACGTTATGTCAACATGTAAATAACTATAATAATATAAATATAACTGTAACAAATATACTAATTTCAATATGTTACCCCGTACGTCAATCATCTTATACGTAATATTATGTAAGACAAAATGTTTCATGTTATGCGTGTTCTGTTAACTATGTTGAACATATCAAATTGATTTAACTGAAATAGATATCTAATCTAGGTTAGATCTAATGTTATCAAAGCATGTGTGAAGTAAGTACATACGACTATATGTTATGAAATCGTGTTGATCTGAAGTAAAATTATTACTCCAGGCTATCGACAAAACCAGCTCAAGTGTGAGCCTTATCGTTCTGGCTTACCTCAATCTTATCGCAGTCCATCTGCTGAGTTCACAGTTGTCGTAGTCTAGGAATAGGGCTTGGACGTCAACACTTATCTTTACCTCATTATACTGTAGGAAATACAGTAACTTCATGTCAGGAGCATTAACAAATGTTCCCCACTGACTCATACGCTCCACGTGGTGTTGGTTTCATGGGTTTGTGTGTCAGTATGTATTGTGTCTTGCATTATGCAGACTACACGAAACGGAACCTGCTACTAGTACAAAGATAAGAGGAATAATATTTTATAATAATATGCTATTTTTGGGTAAGCCCTTTAACGTTTAGTTCAAGATTTTAGGAAATGTTATGAACTGTTGCAATCTCATGCGATCTTAAGTGAGTAGGACATACACATTGAGATATGTCTCCTCAGACACCACAGACACCAGTCCAAGAAATGTTTTCTACCACGTGATATGTTAGGTGTGAGATCACAGTTTACTTTCACAGTTCACGTGTATCAGAAATTCAAAGTGTATATGTTAGGAAACATGTGTATATATAAATAAACAGACACAATACCAATAAATAGTCAATATTTATTTCAAAAAAGTAACGATGTTTTTATAATAGCTTTGCAAAATATAACGTTGTGTAAGTAAACAGTATCAAACATATTAACGCCTTTCACTCGATAATGTAAACGCAGCTAAACATTATATCCCGTTCATCTTCTGCTTCCGACACTGTCGTAATTCGACAACTTTCCCCCGTGACCTGCCATAGAACATTTACATTGAATCTACATGCATAGTTGACCAGTTAAGTGGCTACATGTTTTGAACTGTTGGTGATTATGTTAATCCCCGTTGGCCAGCAACATAGATCTAATATTCTTACAATAATAAGTCAGTACAAATGAAATATTCATGAAACAGCACCACAACGTCTGCAGGCACAACTCGCAGCTAATGGTATGCCTCCGACCCTCTCCAAGTAACATGAGCAGTAGGGATACTATAGCATTATGTATGCATCAACTGCCTGCAGTCGAACTCGGTCCTTCTGGACGTGAATAATTACGCACATGCACACACACACGCACACGCACAAGCACACACACGCACATGCACACACAAACACGCACAATGGTGCCAGCATCCAACAACAATAGTTAAATACTGTCTTTGGTACAAAAACAATGGCCGTAAAAGTGTCTGCTTAAAGTCTTAGACATGACGGCAGTGGACTAAGGTACATGCATAGTGAGAGCTCTTACTCCTCAGTCCAGGTAGCTTTAGACTCTTGGATCAACTGTATAGCACCAGGGATATAGACGTCTCTAGTATTGGTATTGCAAGGTTGTATGCAATCAGCGCTTGAGATCTGCGCGTCATCACGACGCATAGTCTGACGCATAGTTCGCAAGGTTGATGATGTCAGATTCTGTTGGATTTTCTGGCATCCAGATTTTAGCTGTCAGTTTGTTTTCTGTTGGTTTTGGTGTATTGTCATTTGACCATGACAAGGAGTGGCCAATCAATGTCGGACCGTCTTCGCAGTCATCATCTGTGAATGATAATCGCATAACAATAACAATAATAATAATAATTGAATGTTGAAAGAGGGGACTAGCACGCAACTACATCTATGAACGTAGAAATATTACATCGAAGCCAGGTCACAAGGTTACTGTATATGTGTATCATCCACTATTAGTATTATCATCAACTATCCAATATGTAATATTGGATATTTAGGAGATGATGATATAACCAAAGATAATGCTTTTTCTGGGTACTCAGTAAAAACACATATCTATGCCATTTAAGTCTGAAAAATACAACTGTCCCCTTGGACGTGTGTAGAGAGGTACACTAGATGAGCTATATGTTAAGACATTTCCTACCTGTGAACTGGCACCGTAGGATAACTTTTTCCTGACTCTTGTGATTCCTGGAATACTGAGAGTCCAAGCCGTAGTCATCGTAGGTTGTGACAAGGTCTCCTAGGTAGCCGATGTATCTGATGGCCAGTCGGAGCGTGTCGACCTTAGATAGACGCCTATCGGCGTTCACTGTTGCAGGGATACAAGTTCTCAGGTGGTCGAATGCATCATTTATGGATTTCATTCGACGACGTTCACGAAGATTTGCAGCCTTACGCTGTTGTACTTTCTTCACTGGAGCCTTTAGAAGTCGTCTATCGGATTGCAAAAAGTTATGGTTTTCTTGATCTGATTCATTTGAGCATGGTGAGCTGAGATCTTCACAATAGTCCATTGGCTCACAGAAATCCAGGAAATCATCCTCAAGGCTATAGAGGAAATTCTCCATCATCTTGACTAGTTGTGTCTGGTATGTCGCCTGTCTCTCATATAACTTCAAAGTCGTCTGCTGATAATCATAAGCAGACGTCCACGCGCTACCTTATTTTATACACCCGCCAATCAACTCTTAGCCACGTGGCTTGACTCCTCCCAAAAAGGCAATGACCAATCAGACAACGGCATTTTCACTCGCACGTGGGCAAGTGAGCGTGATAAGCCTTGTTTACCAATGACAAATAAATAATTCGTAAAGAGTTAGGGTTGTGCGCTGGCTTGGCGCGATGCCGCCATCTACCCAGGGTAGACACGGGTACTTGAGCGAGCGATCTCTCCGATACCAGCCCCTTTAATTTTAAGCGTCAGTGCGGATATCGTCTGAATGAAGACCGGGGCAGTCACAGCATTATACATTATGCATTACATGAACAACATCTGTTTTTTTACAAACATCATTCTATATCGGTGTTGTATTCTTTGTAACGAATTACGATATCAGTAGGACATGAATAAAATTTGTGTATTTTTTTGTATATCTTCCCGCTTTGTGCGTGACCCTATGCCGTGCACGCGTTGTACGTGCCGTGCACGCGACTGTGCCTCGTGGCGGTTCCGCCACAGCAAGAAGCTACCCGTCTGGTGATGTGTATATAACACACATTTATGGCATAATAAGAATGAAAATATGTCACCGTTAAGTGTGAAACGGATAAATGGGGTAGACTTTTGACTTGTTTAAATTTGTATTTTATGGTAATATACAAGAACCTGCGTGTCGGTGCAGGCATGGGTAGGCAACACGGAGAGGGTAACAGTGGCGCGCACACAATGAACGGGCTCAAATCTGCATTTTGTATCGCCGATGCATCTGACTCTGTGAAATTGCAATACAAGGAAACGCTATCTTATTATGTTGACAAAGTAATATTTAACTCGGACCTAAAACAGACATCAACACTGAAGTGATGGTTAAAACATGTCTGGCACAAGTCGCGATAGGGTTTGAATACAATATATCTAGTGTACGTCATGTATATAATACAATATATCTAGTGTACCTGAGGTGTAGTATACAATAAAAAATCTCGTGTACGTCGGGTGTAGAATATGATATATCTGGTGTTTCCCGGGTGTCTCGTGCACGTTTCTGTTTAGCTCTTACGTTAACGACGCACTCAGCAATATTCCATCTAATGACGGCGTTTTGTCAATAATCGAGTCTGGACTAGTGACTGACATCATGAGTATCGATCTACGCAATCATTGCGAGCGATGATATGCATCAACCAAGTCAGCGAGCCTGACACGCGATCCCGTTAGACGACTTTTACGGCAAGCATGTCTCGTGCACGTCAGGTGTAGAATATGATGTATCAAGTGTACGTCGTAAGTAGAATACAATATATCTAATGCACGTCAGTTGTAGGATACAATATATCTAGTGTACTCCGGGTGTAGAATATAATATATCTAGTGTACGTCAGATGGAGAATACAATATATCTAGTGTACCCCGGGTGTAGAATATAATATATCTAGTGTACGTCAGGTGGAGAATACAATATATCTAGTGTACTCCGGGTGGAGAATACAATATATCTAGTGTACGTCAGGTGTAGAATACAATATGTCTAGTGTACGTCAGGTGTAGAATACAATATATCTAGTGTGCCCCGGGTGTAGAATGTAATATATTTAGTGTACGTCAGGTGTAGAATACAATCTATCTACTGTACGCCCGGTGTAGAATACAATATATCAAGTGTACCCCGAGGGTAGAATACAATATATCTACTGTACGCCGGATGTGGAATACAATATTTCCAGTGTCAGGCATAGAATACAATATATCTGGTATACCCCGGGTGTAAAATACAATGTTTCCCGTGTACGTGAGGTGCAGGATACAATATATCTAGTGTACGTCAGTTGGCGCAATTCCATAAAAAGTGATCGGTTGTAGAACAAAACATATCTCGTGTTCCCCGGGTGTAAAATGCACAATATCTAGTGCACGTCAGGTTTGGAAGATAATATATATCTAGTGTACGTTGGATGCAGAATACAATATATAGTGTACGTCGGGGGTAGAATGCAACATATCTAGTGTTTCTCTGGTATAGAATATAATGTATCTAGTGTACGTTAGGTGTAGAATACAATATATCTTCTGTACGTCGGATGTTGAATACAATATATCAACTGTAATTTGGTAGTAGGCTACAATATATCTAGTGTACGTCGGATTTAGAATACAATATATCTAGTGTACGTCGGATGTAGAATACAACATATATAATGTACGTCGGATGTAGAATACAATATATCTAATGTATGGCGGATGTAGAATACATACAATAAAGTAAACGTTGGGAGTAAGTTACCTGTTATATACTTCATAGTGTAAGACGAAGTTTTCTGAAGTTGAAAAAAGTGAGTTTTTATTGCAGTGAACATTACACTTGATATTTCACTGTAGTGAACATAACACTTGGACGAAACTATTGTCTCACAAGAGTTACCTTCCCGTCACACATCTCCCTTCATCGTAACTTGTGGCTCGCCCGTTCACAAACTGCTGACTTCCTATTTACGTTAGTTTCACATTGACATGGCAAACTAATGACTCATTTATGAAGGGGGCACGGGTGGCCCAGGCGTCTAAGGCGCCGCGATTCGCTGTGCAGAGTTGCGTTCCTTGGGCACGCCAGAAACATATGATTGTGGGTTCGAATCCCGGTTCGCCCCGATTATGTTTCTAGGTTTGTCAGCACCATACCCGTGCTCGTGGGTTTCACCGAAGTGGTAAACGTCTAAGACCTGCATCACTTCGGGCTTTCCTCCCACATTAAGCTGACACGCCGTGATATAACTGGAATACTGTTAAAAACGGCGTAAAACCCAACTCACTCACTCACTCACATTTATGAAGTTAATATCGCTTCCTGCCTTTTGTTATTCTCTTGGAAATGTTTCAAAATAAACTGTAAATTTCTCATTTAACTCGTCAATCGAGACAGTTCGTTTCGCATAGCGACATTTTTGCTACTTGACCAGCGTGAATTCTTTCGCTTCCAACAACAGTCTCATATTTGAAGAATATCTTTTGCTATATGCTAATGAATTTTAATGACATCACATTTTTTTGCTACTCTTGTAAATCTTTTGAAGATTTTCGCAGTCGCACTTACAAGGGGTGGTGAAACGTCCCTGTATGTTAGGTACTGGGAGAATTTTCGTTTCAAGGTTTTACAATTGTAATGAAATAATTTAATTTTCCGGTAGACAACTACACAAAAAGTGTATAAAAATAAGATATTCCACGTGTTTCGTGAAACATCATATATCACTCGACACGTGTAATATCATGTATATATATCTACTGTACGTTGGGTGCAGATTACTATATACTACCATGACTGTTGTGACTTTTAACGTTATGTGTGTGGTAGTGAGGTACTTGTGCACTTTACAATGTGTCAGTTTGATAATGATGGGTTACTTGTGTGCAACTGGAGTGACCTCACAATTATCTATATCTGTGATAGTGATAGACGAGGAGTGTTTTGTTATAGTGAGGTTACTATCTACGTGTGTGATTGTGATAGATTTGGAGTGTGTAACTATAATGAGGTTACAATCTATATGTGTGATTGTGACAGACTAGGAGCGTATGATTCCAGTGGGGTTAATATCTATATGTGTGGTAGTGATAGACTAGGGTGTGGTTAGAGTGAGGTTACAATCTATATGTGTGATAGTGATAGACTAGAAGTGTGTGATTACAGTGAGGTTACTATCTATATGTGTGATAGTGATAGACTAGGAGTGTGTAGGTATAGTGATGTTACTATCTATATGTGTGATAGTGATAGACTAGGAGCGTATGATTACAGTGGGGTTTATATCTATATGTGTGATAGTGATAGACTAGGGTGTGGTTAGAGTGAGGTTACAGTGTAGATGTGTGATAGTGATAGACTAGAAGTGTGTGATTACAGTGGGTTACTATCTATATGTGTGATAGTGATAGACTAGAAGTGTGTGATTACAGTGGGTTACTATCTATATGTGTGATAGTGAAAGACGAGAAGTGTGTGATTACAGTGGGTTACTATCTATCTGTGTGATTGTGACAGACTAGGAGTGTGGTTACAGTGAGGTTACTATCTATATGTGTGATAGTGATAGACTAGGAGCGTATGGTTACAGTGAGGTTACAATCTATATGTGTGATAGTAAAAGACTAGAAGTGTGTGATAACAGTGAGGTTACTATCTATATGTGGGATATTGATATACTAGGAGTGTGTGATTACAGTGAGGTTACTATCTATATGTGGGATATTGATAGACAAGGTTTGTGTAACTATAGCGATGTTGCTATCAATGTGTGATATTGAAAGACTAGGAGTGTGTGATTACAGTGGGGTTACTATCTCTATGTGGGGTATTGGTATACGAGGAGTGTGTGATTACAGTGAGGTTTCTACCTATATGTGTGATATTGATAGACTAGGAGTGTGTCAATATTGTAAGGTTACTATCAATATATGTGATAGCGATAGACAAGGAGTGTGTGGTTACAGTGATGTTACTATCTATATGTGTGATAGTGATAGACTAGGAGTGTGTAGGTATAGTGATGTTACTATCTATATGTGTGATAGTGAAAGACGAGAAGTGTGTGGTTACAGTGAAGTTACTATTTATATTTGTGATAGTAAAAGACGAGAAGTGTGTGGTTACAGTGAAGTTACTATTTATATTTGTGATAGTTATAGACTAGAAGTGTGTAACTATTGTGATTAATCTGTCTTTATGTGTGATAGTGATAGACTAAGAGTCTGTTACTAAAGTGAGGTTACTATCTATATGTGTGATAGTGATAGACTAGGAGTTTGTTGGTATAGTGATGTTACTATCTATATGTGTGATTGTGACAGACGAGGAGTGTGTTATTTTAGTGAGGTTACTATCTATATGTGTGATAGTGATAGACTAGGAGTGTGTGATTACAGTGGGTTACTATCTATATGTGTGATAGTTATAGACTAGGGGTGTGTAGGTATAGTGATGTTACTATCTATATGTGTGAT